ATGTTAATCCTCTCACAAAATCTTTACATGAAAACATAAAGGGACAATGCTGACTTTTTACACTTATTAAGCACAGATGCTGTACGATACACCCCAACTCACCCCTGCTTTTTAATGTGATGCTACTGCTACAGGCTTTCAGAAGAATTTCTTAGCTGAAAAATGGGAGATGCTTCTTCTAAGTTGGTCACAAATGAAATTTTAAAAGGATTATATTTACAATGGCAATGGCACAAAATAGTGCAAAGAATCTTATAAAAACTCTATCTTTTCATGAAGAAAATTCACAACTTTAATGAGAGATACTGAGTAGTTAAACAAAGGGATACATCATATTTATAATTATGAAAGTTAAATTTTCCCTAAAACAGATTCAGTGAAATTAAAATACAAACTATAAATGGGTTTTTCATCAAATTTGATAAGCTGACTAAAAGTTTTGCAAGAGTAAACAACCAAAACTTTTTTTTTTTTTAATTTAAGAGGAACAAGAATGTAGGTAGGGGTACTTTAATTATTCAGATATTAAGACCTCACAGAGCTAAAGTAATTCTATAGTAAAGAAGACAATATTGCACTGATGTCAGGAAAAACAGACCAACGGATCGGATTAGAGAAACCAAGAAACAAATATGGAAAATTTGATATGTGACAGATATGGCACCCCCTGATTCCAATAAACTGTGTAGAAGCAATTAATTATACACATGGTAAAAATAAAATTTGATTCCTATCACAGAAATCAGTTTAAGATGGGTTAGAGACAAAACTAAAATTGTTAGTATAAAATAGGGAGAAAATCTTTAAAACAAGGATAGGGAGGCATTTATGTAAACACCATTAGGAAAAGAATAAATTCAATTGCATTAAAATTTAGACTGTTCACCAAACCAATATAGAAAATGAAAACCAACTACAAACTAGGAGATACTGGCCACAAGTAAAACTGAAAAAGGAGAAGTGACACAGAAAATTGTATTACTCAGTAACAAGGCTATTATATAAGAACATGTAGCTAAAATTAGTTTGTAAAGGAACAACCACGGCTATTTCCATAATCTTTCAAATGCTCAATATATATGGCTTGTACTCATATAACACATAAATCCTAGAGACTAATTTACCCCAAAATCTTTTGTAGCACATCAACCTCAAAAGCCCATTCCTATATTCCCTAAGAAAAACCTCTTGTGCATGATCAGCTGGGTACAAGAAAGTTTGTACTAGCAGTATGCCTAACAACAACACAATTATGGAAATATCTGAAATATCCACTGGCAGAAGAAAAATAAGTAGTAGAACTATCAAAAAAGCATAGGAAGTCTAAGCAACCAAAATCCAAGGCAATGATAACCTCTAGGATGAAGACATGTGGATAGAAATGGGGGTTCCTTTCTATAAGTTGTTTGGTGGTTTCTCAGGTGTTCATTACATATATTGTTTTCTTTGAATTAAATGTCATAAATCTTTGATGGTAAACTCATTGATGCATGATGTCTTACTTCTCTATAGTAAAATATGCTCCAGAAACTTGAAAGCAAAACTGAAAAGAGCCATAATGGTTTCTAGGGCTATTAGACTTAACTAAAACCTGAATGAGAGCATTAGCATTTTGAAAGATTGTACCTATCCATCAAAGGCATTTAAATAGCCCATGAAAACATAGTATGTGAGTCAAAACAAACACTACAAGAAAAAAAAAACCTATACTAATCTTAAGTGACAATTCTCCATGCTTGGTCTCACTTCTGCAGACCTAGGAGCAGAGGCACTGTCTGCCTTTGTTTCAGACTTTCTCTCAAAGATGTGTGTTTAGTGGAATATGTAGTGTCTCCCCTTAGAAGTTAAGAAGTAGTATCTAGTGTAACAAAATCAGCCTCCTTCAAAAGTCAGGCAGACTTATCGCCCAGTAGAAAACACTAGGGTTCCCTAAACAAGGAGAGAGAGAGAGAGAGAGAGAGAGAGAGAGAGAGAGAGAGAGAGAGAGAGAGAGAGAGAGAGAGAGTGTGTGTGTGTGTGTGTGTGTGTGTGTGTGAGAGAGAGAGAGAGAGAGAGAGAGAGAGAGAGAGAGAGAGAGAGCGCGCATGCGCACACATCACATCCACCTGAGCAGCTGCTGAAAGGTATATTTTAAGAGGAAGAAGAAAAAGGTAAAGATAAAAATTATGAACAACTACATATCTTTCAACAAGTGAATCTAAAAATCAAGTGAATAAAAAAATCTGATGAACAGAATAAACTGGTGAATATCATAGAATCAGGGGCATAGAAAGGGAGTGAACTGACAGTCCTTGGGGGGGAAAGGGTTGAGAGAGGTGAGGAAAAAGACTGGATAAAAATCATACACCTATGGATGAGGACAGTGGGGAGGGTGTTAAAGGTAGGGTATGGGGACCAGGTGGAGGGAAGCTATTGGGGGGGGGAAGGAACTGTAATAATCTGAACAATAAAGATTAAAAAAAAAGTATCCAGCACATAGCAAGTACCAGCTATAATAAAGATTAAATAACTATAACTATTAGATTTAATGAAATATAAAAGTGCCTATTTACCATAGGGAAACATTTTAATCTGAGCTAGAAGAAAAAGGAGGAGGAGGAAAGGAAGGAGATAAGAGGAAGGGAAGAAAACTTACCATTTCTAAATAAGAATTCCAACAATTCAGTAATTACTATCCTAGTGACTTTGTTCAGGTACTTAATGATTCTATGCATGAATTTTTTCACTGATAAAAACTAAAGATATTGGCTCTGTTCAAATAAAATATTAGACTCAAAAGCACTTAGTGAAGCACCAAAGGACTATAAAATTTCATTATTATTTTTAACAGTCTTCTCAATTTCCTAAGACAATTAAAGAGGTAGAATAAATTAAGTGTTCTATGAATTTTTCTATTCATGTATTACTACCACCTTAATTCACTAAACTATAGCCAATAGGCCTTTCAGTCCTACTACTATTTTCTTTACAATTACTGGGAAGTATTACTGATTATTAAAATTTTTACTGTCCATCTCTCTCACTAGCATTTATATCCTTTGTGCGGCTAGGGCTCATATCTATCTCGTTCACAGCTATTCCTAGGGCTTAGACCAGATGCCTCATACACAGGTGTTCTAACATTTATCACATACATATCAATATATGTGTGAATATGAATATCCTTTTAAAACCCTAAAATAACGCTTTGGGAATGAGTGGTATTATTATTGCTATTTACATTGGAGGAAACAGGAAGACAGAGAGCATTAATAGCTTTGCAATTCTAAGTAAGTTAAAAAGCCAGGAATTAAAGTTAGGTCTGCCTCTGACTAAAGCCCAAGGCATTACTCAGAAATTTCCATCCAGGGAGTAACTTTTCCCTAATGCCTATTGTGAGTCTAAAAAGAGTTCAAAGAAAAATGGCAGAATAACAAGTCTATGCAGGAAATGTAAAATTCACAACTCCAATTTACACAAAGCAGCAAGATGCATCTTCTTACTCAAAGGGTGTAAAGATTAGCCATGTCACTCTCTCCTCCCAAACAGCCACAACTATGACTAAACCAGGGTCTGGCCTTGGACACAAAGGCAAGCCACAAGCTTATAAGATCGACTGGAACAGCGCTGTCTAAAAGTGGCAATGTTGGGTCAAGTGCACATCACTATCTCCTCTCTGCCTAATCTGTGCACCCTGTAACCCTGGAACGGACAGCTGTATATGCTATAATATCCTATCCTAAGCCGAGTCAATCAGCTTTCTTCTTGTAAGAATATGGCACTGACTACAGGGATATAACTTTAGAACCAGCTCAAAATGGTTCAGGCTTTTGAGCATTTGCTTCTTGTTCTCCTGGGTGGCACCATTCATAATAGCCACTGCAATTCTTGGTGTCTAGTGTTTGTCTCTGCTAGTGTTCTGTAACACGAGGCTAAAATATAGATCAATAAGCCTGATATTTTGATAGTCATGATTGATTACAAACTGATGAGGCAAAAAGAACCCAGCCTATAGAGAAAAAGAATAAAACAGATGTGTAATGAGAATCGGAGATAAACGATTATGTAGAGTATTTGTAGGTAAAGTAGAGAGAAGAGAGGGAGTATGAAAAGAAAGAAGCTACCTAATACCTTTCAAATCTCAAAAAAAAACAAAAAAAAAACAAAACCAAAAAACACACAAACACCCACCTAGCTGAATTTACTCTTAAAAATAAATTCTGAGAAATGCCATTCTGTGTCATTAATATAATCTCCTTTTCTTAATCTATTTTGAATGGATCTATCACCTGCAACCAAATGATCCTAAATTAATCTAGTTCCCAATAATGAATGATAAGCCTAGGAATAAGCGGAGTCAAAACATCATTTGTTTCCAAGGTGAAGCAGTTAGTATTTATTCCTTCAACAAATGTTGCCTGGATGCTTACTCTATTTCAGAAATTTCTAGGTTTCTGAACATCAGTGAACAAAGAAAAAAGCACAAATATGAGACAAATATACAAATTCAGGACATGAAAAGTGTTAGCAAGAAAAATAAAGCATAGTAAGAATACAGCTCTGGAGGGGGTGCTATTTAGAGTGCTCAGGGAGGGTCACAAAAGAGGGGACCTGAAGTCAGAAAGTAGCTCTGTGCAGATATGGAGGAGAGTGTTTCAAATACAGAGAAGAGAAAATGCAAAGCCCGAGGCATAGATAATCTTAGTAGTAAAATACATAAAACATAGAAAATCACAGTATTTAGGAGACTGTGAGTGAGAAAGATTGATAGGAAATAAATCTGGAAAAGCCAGGAACAAGTTTAAAGTCAAACTTATGACTCAATTATTAAGTGTAGATGACTTTTTGCCTATGTATTTATTATCTAATTCTGGATTTGATTCATTATAAATCACATTCTCTTAGGTTTCTATTGTTTCTATTTATTTTGCTTGGTGAAGAGCAGATGGCCTTGACCCTTGTCTAACACACCCAATTTCAATACAAATGAATAACATACTGGAAAACATTTATTTTCTCACCTGACTGGCTTGGCTTTGCAAGTAGACTCTTCTGGCATTCAGATCTTCAAAGGGAGATGGTCTTGAGCTTCTATAAGGCTCACTGGTAACAACGGTCTCTTGCTGGAAAAGATGATCTTTCACTCGAGGACTAGGAGTACTCTCTTCAGCAGTTGCCTAATGGGAAAAATCCCCAACTCATTAGTTGCCAGAATATAAAAACAACAATAAAAACTTAGATACTTTCTAATAAGTACAAATATTCAGCAAATCAATAAGAATGTACCACCAACACTCTGAATAGCAATTCCCAAAACTTAATGTACAAGATTAGGGAGCCATGTCAAAATAATAATTTAAAAAATCAACTTTAAGAACAAACTTATGGAACATAACTAAGGAAGAATTAGGTTAACCAGTTAACCATTCCATATAAGAGAGACATTTAATTATAATGAGCTTTTAATTATAACTAAAGTGGTCTTTTGCAAGTTAAAAAGAAAAGTATTTACCAAGAAATTTGCAAGTTAAAAAGAAAGGTATTGCCGAAACCGGTTTGGCTCAATGGATAGAGCATCGGCTTGGGGACTGAAAGGTCCAGGGTTCGATTCCAGTCAAGGGCATGTACCTTGGTTGCGGGCATATCCCCAGTAGGGGGCGTGCAAGAGGCAGCTGGTCGATGCTTCTCTCTCATCGATGTTTCTAAATCTCTATTCCTCTCTCTTCCTCGCTGTAAAAAAATCAATAAAATATATATTTTTTAAAAAAGAATGGTCACCTGTAAAGCTTTTCCCTTCTTCCTCTGTCTCTGTCCCATGGCCTCCTGCTCTACCAAGTCCTCCAAGCCACCAGCTCTCCCTCTCCCCTCCATCTAGTGGCTTAGGGGACTAAGTTCTCCAAGCTTCTCTACTCTCTGCCAGCTCTTGCAATTAACCCTCCAACTTTGTTGCATTAATTTGCATACTCACACTTCATTGGCTGATTAGCATAGCAGAGGTACAGTCAAATTACATGTTTCTCTCTCTTTTTTTTTAAAATATATTTTATTGTTTTTTTACAGAGAGGAAGGGAGAGAGATAGAGAGCTAGAAACGTCAATGAGAGAGAAACATCGACCAGCTGCCTCTTGCACACCCCCTACTGGGGATGTGCCCGCAACTCGGGTACATGCCCTTGACCGGAATCGAACCTGGGACCTTTGAGTCCGCAGACCGACGCTCTACCACTGAGCCAAACCGGTTTCGGCATGTTTCTCTTTCATTATATAGGATATTCCATAGACAATACTCTACATATGGGCATTAGATTGCTTCCAATATTTTATACATACATAGCAATGCACACCTCCTTATAAATACATCTTGGTGGACTGGTAGTATTATTTCTTTAGGATCAATTTTTATAAATACGATTATTGACTAAAGGATATGCATATATTCCAATTATATTACAAAGAGAATTGCTCAGTAGTATATGAAAGAAAAACCATTTCCTCACGTCTCTGCTTACACTGAGCATTATCATTCACCAATCTTTTCCAACCAATTAAGAAAAAACACTTTTAGTGTTATTTTCCAAAAAGATTATCTGTACCATTTTCATAAGTAAAATTAGTAATAACCAAAACACTTTAATTTGTATACAAATGAGTAAAAAATGTTCAGGTTTAGTCAAGTTTGAATGTTTGTTTGTTTTTACTGGATTATAATCCCTTAAAAAAGGCTACTACAGAAACATGGACATAATCTAAAGTTAGGTGTTGAGAAATGCCAAAAATATTCCACAAGACTAGAAAATGTAATACATTATATGTACAGAGACTGTACATGCAGTTGCATGATCTGCAGCATTTAAAATGATATAAAGATATATTTATATCCACATTCAATGCTTTTAGTGTTGTGTTGGCATGGACTCATCTATATTATGTATAGAGTAACCCATGCCAACTTAAATGTTTTCACTCTCAGAGGCTGGTATAATAATTATTCTCCTATGGTTGCTAAGAGATTGTTTAACTTTTTCTTTTTTCAAGACTACTAAAGCAATTGTGTGTGTAGAGGCAAAAGGATGCCAGGTAAAGCGAAAAAAACAATTTGGCTGTAGCTCTCTACTAGATCACAAGGCTAGATGACAGCTGTGAAGAAAATAAAAACAAAATTTGGTTCTCTCCACCTTTGCTCTTCTGACTGTAGTAATCCTGAAGCAGAGAAAACTTAGGTGTTGCTCTGCAAGCCTTTTTGAAGTTATGTTTCCCCATAAATTACCAATTAAGTATGAGAAAGTAAATATTACAGTCTATTTATTGCTCAAAATGTCCCTTTTTATATATCACAAGTCACAGTTTCAAAAGGTGTGGCTGAGCCATATCCAACAATAGATGTTTTGAATGATAATACAATTCGTTTACTTTAGAATGATCAAAAAATTTTAAATGTTCTTCAATAAAGAAATTTTATATTTTAATACTGCATATACTGAAAATGCTACCAAAGTTATTTTTGGCATTTAAAATTATATTCTCAAATTATGCAAACTTAGCAACAGAAGACAGAAAAAATAATTAATAATTCCATGAATTTAACAAAACCACTATTAAAGTTTTGGAGTAGCATCCAATAGAAATTCATTTCAGACCTGACCATAATTGTCTCCTATTTTCATTAGATTTCTTAGTTTACATTTGATTAATTTAAGAATAAACCTTGAGTTTTAAATTTTGCATTTGTCTATGAGTTTTGTCTGAAAACATCAATAGGATATATAGTATATTGTTAAGGCAACCTAAATACAGTAATCAGTGATGAAATAATATGAAAGAAATATGAGAAATGTACCAATATATAATGCCCAGCAAAAATAGAAAAGAAAAACAAGTCCTCCACCCTAAATTAATAAGCAAAAAAACTAAACTACCTTCCTAATAAAACTTTAGTTTGACTTAAAAATAGTATTAGATTTTCAGAGATTGTTTATTGTCTGCAAATCTGAGTTATTAGGCAATAGTTACATAGTTCCTGATAATTATATGTCTTTATACAATCCTCTAAATGACAAATCTATTTCTAGAATCAAATCTAATCTAAACATCACATTCAGAAATGCCAACAAAAATTAATGTAAAAGGCTGTGGAAAATAAAATAATTGTTGAATGGAATGTGAATGGTTAAATAATTAGTAGCACTGTTACATGATATAAGGGCTAAAATTCAAAGACTGTGAAGTCGGACCATGTGGGTTCACATTTTATGATTTATGCTACTTGAATTCCAACCACCACCATCCCCAATTCAAACAAAAACCCTAACAAAAAATCAAAATGGACAAAATTGATCCTGATAGTGCTTTAAAAAAAAAGTATATATTTAAATACAACATGAAAGAATTTTAAAAAAGGCCCAACTAAATAAACCTATTAACTTAGTTTTCAGATAGAGAGCCTTATTAAAACAGCACCAACTTTGAAAATTAGTATACGAACAATTTTTATCATCCTAGTCTATAACATAATAACTTTAAACAATATAAATCACAAACCTTTTAATCATTTTCACTCAGAAATGACATTACCCAATTCTAAAAAAGGGTAAGTTAGTCAAATATTTCTCAGTAGCAGAAAGAAAAGATATGACTTTTCATTTCATATCAGTTAGGTATCATCTTTCTACTTGCCCAAAGCATGAAATCTGAGATCTTTTCCTCTTACTACCTCAAGTATGATCTAAATAACAATTATTGCCTCCTCTAGGCTTAAAAACTTAGATAATGAGTTACTCTTTTAAAACCATTTTAGTTATTTTTGCAAATAATGACCAATAAAGTAAACGACATTACTACCATAAATCAGTCAATTTGTACTCAAAATAATTTCAAAATGTTTATACAGGGCCCATAGGTGAGTTATGAAACAAGATAATAGTTAAATAAAATAGTTAAAAAGCCAACTTTGCCCCACCAATGTGACTCAGTGGTTGAGCATTGACCTACGAAACAGGTTCAATTCCTAGTCAGGGGACATGCCCAGATTTCGGGCTCGGTTTCCAGAAGAGGGTGTGCAGGAGGGACCTAATCATTGATTATCTCTCTCTTTCCCCTTAGAATATCAAATTAAAAAATGATGACAGAAAACACAATAATAGCCATCCGATGTAAATAAACCAAAATTACACCTATATTTCTGGCACATCAGCAATAAATAAATAAATAAATAAATATTACATTTTTGGTGTGCTGAATTTTAGTAATTAGCTTATATGTGCAATGAATTGAAAAAGATTAAAAATTGCTGAGTTAAATGAATTTGAATACTTTATACTTCCAATATCTTATTCCAAAATAAGAATGATATGCAAAAATTTTGGCATATTATGAAATAATAAGGTAAAGTTAAGAGTCTTCTTTGGTAGTTTTAATTCTGGATGTTGATTCTTCTTAACATTTTTCAAATAGGATATCCAGAAAAATTTACCTCACATATTTACTAGCTTCTCAGTATCTCTCCCCTGCTTTTTTTGAATGTGTGTTATATGCCACTGAGTTGGCTCCAACTCCTGGAGATCCTATGAATGAGTGAGTGACATCTAAATATTTTAATGTGTGTTATGTCATTGAGTTGGCTCAACTTCTGGCAACCCTATGAATGAATGATGTCTACATCTTTTTGCCCACATTTTTAAGGTGAACTTTAACCAAATTTACTTTCATCATAGGAAGAAATTTAGAACATATTTCCCCATTTCTAGTTCCATATTTTTCCATAGAAACCAGAACAAAATGGAACCTTGTATTTATTTTGCATTTTATTACTTGTTTCTTATACCTAATTAATTCCAACTCACTGTATTTTTAAGTAATAATTAACCATCAATAAACAGATTCAAATATTTAAACACATAAAAACTCTTTATGTACAATAGGGGAACTAGTAATTAAGATACTTCTAATATAAACAAATTACATAAAACAAAACCATTAAAAATTAAACTTAAAAACATATTTATTGATAGAAAAACATTATGTAATTTAAGTGGAAAAAACAGACTTTAGTATAATAATAAAATAATACATATACACTGGTCAGATTATTATGATCTTTGAACATATTCTCTATATAATATGTACATACATACATATACACATACTATTTATTCTAGCTTCTTGTTACTTGCTGGCAAATACAGTGTCTTAGAAAGTTTCTTAAAAACTTACAGGTTACTTATTTATTAAGGCTAGTTATTTCCTCTACTTCAGGGGTGGGGAACCTTTTTCTTAAGGGCCATTTGGATATTGATGACATCATTTGCAGGCCATACAAAATCATCAATTTAAAATATTTGGCCAAACATTTAATTAACTCACCCCTAATGCCTTGGCAGGGCAAGACCAAATGATCTTGAGGGCCTTACATGGCCCAGAGGCCGGACATTCGTCACCTCTGCTCTATATTCTTTATGTTTAAAAATTTCTTTCAAGCCAACTACTTACTTGTAAGTCATCATCTGCTCCTTCAGTTTCATTTTTTAATGCTGGGCATCCTAAGAAAACAGGTAAAAGTTTAATTAAACATAACATTTTTGTCTTAGATTTTAGTATTATTGACTAATTGATTATGTCATTTACAATACTAGAGGAGACTGATCAGAGATCATTCTAGGCTGCCTGGCAACCAATCTGACGTAGGCCACTCATATTTGCCCCTTTATTAAAAGAATAGAGAATAAAGTGATTGTTTTCCTTTCCTGCAGGTAAATTCCCAATGACTTACAAAAAGATGTTTTACTGTATGTGAAAAGTGTACTATTCACAGCAAGTCCTGCTCCTGATTTCTCAAACACCTAGGTAAACTATGTGCACCACACTCCTCTGGTATTAGATAATGCCCATGTGTGATCTTCTCAATCTTCCTAAATACTCTGACCCAGGAACAGTATTTAGTACCCAGAAGTAAGATTTTAGTTCCTACAGTAAGAAAAATAAATGAGCCTTAATTCACTATAGATAGTCAATGGCCAGTTGTTTCCATTGACCGTTATGCATCAATGTTTCTGTATACATTTTAATCATGTTCAAGAGAGCCTTTGGTTCCAACAAATTCATAAAGAGGGATTTCTCCTAGCAATGAATTTTGAGTTTCTGCTTGCCTTGAGACATAACTAGCATGGAGATGACAAATGTGCCCTTTGAAAAGGGTTGCAATAAATTTTTCCTTATTGTCATAGAAGGCTAATAAGAGAAATTTAATGAGATTGTTCAAAGTCTATATAATAACTGGTAACAAGGCTAAGCAGTATATTTAAAGTAATGTTTACAAATAACAAGATCGACTGAATACAGCAGCAGCAGTCTGTTCTCCCAGGCTAGGAGTTTGTAAACTTCTCCTTATAAATTGTCTTTTTGAACATTAAACTCAATCTATTTGATCCTAGTGAAAGTGTGTTCTTATGGGGACATAAGTATAGACTTCAAAATAATACAAAACTTAAACATAAATCATATAAATTTAACACCCATAGATAATGATTTTTCTTTCAAGCACTGGTTCTTCAACATTAGCTAAAATAGCAGAATCAACTGGGAAACTGATACTAGAGTTCAGTACCAAACCAATAATATCAGAAATGTCTGTTAGGTGAGGCATGAGGGTACCATGCATTTTTATTTTTAAGTTTCTTGTAGTGGTTTGAGAGCCACATCTGCTAGAGAATCTGAGGAGCCATATTCATTTGTTTTTGTAAATTCATAATATACTCATTCAGCTAGGATAACAATTCCTTATCACATTTGAAATGTCTAGGAACTTAAAAAGAAATAAGTAAATATATATAATGCCTCAGCTCCACTCCCCCAAATAGTTTGATTCAAGTGACCTGGAGTCAGAACTAGTCATTCTATTTTTCAAAAGCCTCCCAGGTAATTCTAACGTGCAGCCAACATCAAGAACACTGATATAAAAATAATTTATGGGATCTGGTTATGAAAATAAAATAATTGCTATCATCTCATAGAATTTCTTTCTGAATTGGAAATCAAAGATTACTTGCTTAACAAACTCTAATATTTAAAGTAGGTCAATATATTATTTAACCACAGTTTCATGCACTATTAATACAATTTACACTAAGCTTTTCCATGTTCTTGCCTATGGTCTGTTTCCTAATTAGTTCACTTCTTCTAATATTCAAAATATGCAAATAACAAAGTTGTCTAATATTGATGGAGTTACTTTATACAGAAGCCATTCTATTAACAGACATGATATTCCTTCTTAATTAGAAAAACAAATCAAGTTTTAACTTGTTTGGGGGGAGAAGTTAGTTTTAATGTGATTTCTTTGTTTAATTAAAAGCAGAGGCCAGTTTTACATGTATATACAATCTCCCTCTTTTTAAAACCTGCAAGCTTGTACAAGCTTTATAGTTAATAATTTTAAGAGACTGAAAGATTACAAAGGGATATTTGGGGTTGTGGTATCTGTCAATGCTCAATAATAAAATCAGGTAAAAAGAAAAGGGTTCTGCCCTAACCGGTTTGGCTCAGTGGATAGAGCACCAGCTGCGGACTCAAGGGTCCCATGTTCGATTCCGGTCAAGGGCATGTACCTTGGTTGCGGGGACATCCCCAGTGTGTGTGTGTGTGTGTGTGTGTGTGTGTGTGTGTGTGTGTGTGTGTGTGTGTGTGTGTGTGTGTGTATGTATGTGTGTGTGTGTGTGTGTGTGTATTTTTTTTTTAAAGCATTTCTCTTTCAAAAAAAATGGGGGAGGGGGGGTCTGACATAGAACAACTGGAATATACCTATATTTGATTATTAGAAATTTTATCTTTATCATTACCAAAACAAGATAATGACTGATATAACATATGTTATATGACTGATACAACATATACACAAAGATTTTAAAAGTTGTAACTTACTGCTCTCTTCAATCTCTTATTTGAAATCATCTGAATTATCTGAACAGAAATATTGATGGGTTCTTCAAGGTAATAAATTTAATTGGCATATATTGTGATGTAACAAATCTGAAACAGACTAAGGAGCCCATTATTTTATCTACTTTACCTACAGTGAATTTTCAAAGTCTGGTCACATATCCCAAAAGCTGACTTGCTTAAAGTAACTCTACTTTATAACACATAACTGATAAACAAATTAAGAAAATAGTTAGAAAAACTTACCTTGAGATATATCCTCTATAGCTCTTCGAATTCCTCTATCAAAAGCCCTAGCATCAGCAGGACTTTGAAAGGTAAGGCCAAATTTCTTGTCTTCAATCTTCCAGTGGTGAAATGTTGGAGTGACCTTATTGTAAATGAGGTCTTTTTTAAGCATACATTCCAAAACCACCTGTCAAAAGTTAAATACCAAAAATTACTATATGTGTCAAATGCATCTAATGTAATGCTTAAATACAAACTGAAGAAAAGAGCTATTACATTTTAATGATTATTTCGGCCTTATATTAATACAGAGGTCTTGCTACTTAATCTACTTGACAAAGTTATTCCATACAGAAATTAAGATGGAACTAAGAAGATGGCAAAGAACCAGGAACCTGTCCTCCTACCTAAACAACAAGTGCATTGGCAGAATCTGTCTGATATAACTACAATATGTTGGAAGTCTGGAGTCTGTTGAAAGCTTGCAACTTCCAGAAGAATGCATGGGCAGTAAATTGTGCTTAATTTCTGGGAGTTGTGGGAGTGGTTCCTGGAGCAGCAAGTACACAAATCCTGGGAGCCAGGGTAGATAAAAAGAATCCTGTCCTACAACTACCAGATATCTGTGCTCTTATCACTGACTGCGGCTTCTGATCACAGAGGTAAAGACAAAGAGGTACACGGATGTACCTCCCTCATTGCTGCAAGTCATTTCTCATCAGAATGGAGTGACTTCCATGGTATTTAAAGGGTCAGCACCCTATTTTAGCCGCCATTTTTTTACTTTTCTCATTTTGAGAGCCAAACATTAAATGCAAAAACAACAACATATATGGGGGAAATTATAAAGTGACTATGCATACCCAGGGGAAGACTCAGAAAATACGTAAGAAGGTATTAAGTTCATCTTATTCTGATCCTTGGCACAGAGACAAATAATAATAATAATGTAGTAACAAAAACAGCAAACCATGGGGAAACAAGATAATCTGATTTCCAGAGTTACCACATTGTTAGATTCAAATGCCCACTGTTGAACCAGAATAATCCCAATGCATAAAAAGAAACAGTACAAGATAAGTAATTAAAGTCTGTCAAGACTCTCCTAAAGGCAAATGCCACAGCCATTACAAATATTATCTGAAAATTATTCTGTATATACAGTTGTTAAACATGAAATACATCTCTAAGTAATCCTAATTAATAGCTGAATATACCTCTTTCTATAGTTAAAGAGTTCTGGTAGTATGTAAATTTCATCAGACGTCCCTCCATGGTTAACTTTGAAAAACATTTATAAGTTAGAGAGTAAAAAAATGAAAAGTGGATCAGTGGCTCTGCCCTCATTTCTACCCAAAATATTTTACATTAAATTAATATAAAGATAAGCATAGAGTAAATAGCAACTATAAAGTGAATGTTTTATATAAGACTGACACAACAGGAATAACTATGAAAGAATATGTTGCCCAAGTAATATGACATCAATAACTTGTAAGATCCATTAAGGATGTGGCTTGTTAACAAATAAAAACAAACCAAGAAGTCATGTTTTAGAATCAGAATAATACTACAACTTTTTGAACTTTTGTTCACGTCCACTTGAAAGTACAAGTGTGCTGGGATTAGAAATGAAGTATTTTTATTTACTAGAGGCCCGTGCATGAAACTCCTCTGTGTGTGTGTGTGTGTGTGTGTGTGTGTGTGTGTGTGTGTGTATCCTTCAGCTCAGCATGTACCTTCTCCAATCTGGAACCCCTCAAAAGATGTCTGACAGCCCGTTTAGGCCTGATCCTGGTAGTGAGATCGGGCCTAAATGGGCAGTCGGACATCCCTCTCACAATACAGGACTGCTGGCTTCCAACTGCATACTTGCCTGCCTGCCTGATTGCCCCTAATTGCTTCTGCCTGTCAGCCTAATCATCCCCTAACCACTACTCTGCCAGCCTGATTGACGCCTAACTGCTCTCCTGCTGGCCAGATTGCCCCTAACTGCCTCTCCTGCCAGCCTGGTAGCCCCTAATTATCTTCCCTTCAGGCCCAGTCACCCCTTATAGTCTTCCCCTCCAGGCCTAGTTGTCCCTAACTTCCCTCCCTTGCTGGCCCAATCACTCCTAACTGCCCTCTCTTTCCAACCTTGTTGCCCCAAATGCCCTCCCCTGCTGGCCATCTAGTGTGTTGGAGTGAGGGTCAATTTGCATATTAACTCCTTATTATATAGGATTAGAAACTAAAAAAAATTAACATATGATGAAAAATTTCAAAACTAGAAAAAAAAGGAATAACAGATTCAAAAGCACTCTAATGTTTATGACTGTATAAATTTTTTTTTCAGACTTTGACATACCAACAGTCATGACTAGGTTTGAATAGAACATAATTGCTACAAATAGACTGGCTGCAGGCAGCCTTGGGAAGTGACTATAATAATGAAGGATGAAAAGTACAATTATGTAAGGATATTTGAAAGAATAGCTTTGCATTCTAATACAGATCTTAACAGACCTGAGTTGGGTAAGACATACCAGTTTAAATTATTTTCTAGCTACATTTATACTTTTGGAACCATAAATATTTTAATGAGTTCTTAAAGTCTTTCAATCAAGTACTGATAAGAACAATATTTTTTCTTTCTTTTATTGAGGTTGAATAGATGTTAATTATGAAAAGATAAAGTCTAAAATTAAGAAAGTGAACCTATAATTAGCATAAACATTAAAATCTGATTACCCCCCCCCCGCCCCCCGCAATGTTGTTTTTTTTTCCTTCTTCTATAAGAAATACTAGGGTATTTGATTGGGGGGATGGAGGGGAGGAGAAGGAAGGAAGAAGGGGAGAGAGAAGGGAAACACCAAGGCCACTTAACAACTAAAACTTCTGAAGATATATTCTAAGTTATTTTGGGAAATACAGACCAAAATTCCCATCATAAAACTACCAGGCTTGTTTTCCACAAGCATTTAAAATAGACCAAGCAAAAAATAAGTATGAATGCATTTCTGTTTAACTTACAACAACTAATAATTTGGGAGAGCAGAGTAAAATTAAATATGTACTAGTACTAGTACTTTCAAACTACTATGTACTTTATTATGGTTGCTACCTTACAAGTAGATAATTATAAGTTTACAAATAGTATTATCTAAAAAGTAGTATGGTTGGTAACCAAACATAAAAAATGTTATTAGTAACTTTCTAAAATATCTTTGAATCATTTCATTAAAAATTCCAAATTCAAATTATTTGATAACCAAAATCACTAATTTTCATCTCAAACAGTTGCCTCATATTACGAACTTTAGTCTTCTTAATGACATAAAAACTGTATCCTTTATGAAGAACACCAAGGCATACTATGAAATATGAAATTACATTGTTATTAAATACATAGTTTTACTAATCATTAATAAAAATGTATGCTTAACACTGTTCTGAACTGCATGGGATTTTAGAATTTTTAAAGAAGTAACAAAAGAAACAATGGCATATTTCTCACATAACAGCAGTTCAGCGACTAAAACGGGAAGGAAGGGAGCCAGTGCTCCTTAAATATGTCTGTCATAAAAGAGAAACTGCTCTAGATTAAAGGAAAATAAGCACATGACAGCTAAATACCACGTGTTTTCTATGGAAGGAACAAAAATGTTATAAGAACATTATTAAGACAGTTGACAAAACTGGAATATGGAACTTACATTAAAGTACTATATTCATGTTAAATTTCCTAAATAAAATAATTACACTGCGGTTATTTAAGAAAATATCCTTGTTCTTAGGAAAAAATACACTAAATATTAGGTGGTAAAAGGTGGGATATATGCAACTTACTATAAATATATACACTGAGTGGCCAGATCATGATGATCTCTGAATGCATAATAATCTGGCCACTCAGTGTACTTATGTATAAGGGAAAGCTTGCAAATCTTAGAATGTCAAGGGACCAGGAAATAGTGGCCCCCAGCCTCTGGCTAGTAAGTCCTCTGCTTCTTTCTTTCTAACTATCCACAATGCAGTTCTTATACACGAAAAAACCTTATTTTAAAATCCCAACTCTGTGGTCATTCTAGACCAGTGGTTGGCAAACTCACTATTCAACAGATCCAAATGATAACAGTACAATGATTGAAATTTCTTTTGAGAGCTGAAAACTGACTTTTGCTCATGGGCCACAAAGTTTCAATCACACTGTATGTGTGCGCCCACAAGTGGTATTTTGTGGAAGAGCCACACTCAAGGGGCCAAAGAGCCACATGTGGCTCTCGAGCTGCAGTTTGTTGACCACTGGTCTAGACTGAGTGGCCTGATTACTGTGTTCAGAGATCATAATAATCTGGCCACTCAGTGTAGTTCATTAGTTGTTAGGGAAATCCAAATTAGCTATCATGATACACCTATACCAATGATGAAATAAAAAATAGTGACTACATAAAATGCTAGTGAGAATGCCTAGAAAGTGGATTGCTCTGGTAAAAATGTAACAGTATAGCCAGCCATGTGGGGAAAAGTTTGGCCATTTCTTATAAAACTAAACATGCAACTACCACACTACCCAGCAATTACATATGGTCATTTATCCCAGAGAAATAAAACATATGTTTACAGAAAAACTTGTATATGGATGTTCTTAGCAGCTATATTTGCAATAGCTCCAAACTGTAAAAAGCCTTCATTTCCTTTACTCAGTCAATGGTTAAACTTTGGTACACAGTTGTCGTAGAATACCAGGCAACAATAAATAGGAACAAACTATTGATAACCTGCATGAACCCTCGAGGAATTATGCTGAATGAAAAATAATCCTGAAATAACGTATTTATTATTCCAATTACATAATACTTTTGAGATGGCAAAATTATAGAAATGGAGAACAGGTGAATGGTTTCCAGGCCAAGAGGGAGGTAGGTGTCTATTAAGTACCAGGGGAAAGGATTCTTATGGTTATTGAGCTGTTTTGCAATCTTTTCTATCATAGTGGATATATGTGATAAAACTATATGGACCTAAATGCACTCCCAAATGAGTACAAAACTGGGAAAATCTGAATGTGATGGACTTTGTTGATGTGAATATATATTCTGGTTGTGATGCACTAGTTTTGCAAAATGTTACTATTGGGAAAACTCGGTAAAAGGAAAACAAGATCTCTACATTATTCTTTATAAGAGCAATTAATTTCATCTCAAT